TCCTCAGGAAAGACATCAGCGAATTCTTCCAACACAGGAGCGACTTCTGGAGGGACCACGTCAGCAACGTCTTTAGGGGCTTCTCGTGCAGTGAGGGCGAATACGGGAGCTCCATTGGCCATTTCACGATCGGTTTCTTTAGCCCCAATCAGGTTAACACCTCGGGAAGACTTGTCTGGATCGGGCTTCTTGTCACTACCTTTCGGTTGAACCGGAAGGAGCTTGATCTTCTTCCCGTCATGCTCGAACAATAGCATGTTGGATCGTCCGAAGATATGAATGTTGTTATCAAACAACTAGGGCATTCTAAGAATAACTTGACCCACATCCATTTTCAGAACATCGTACCAAATTTTATCCTTATAAATGGCAAATTAAAGAGGGACTAAACATCTCTCTTGGACATTGAGTGCGGTGTCGTTAATCCATGATACATTGTATGAGTTAGGATGAGGTACAACCTTAAGACCAAGTTTGGCGACCACAGCTGAGGAGACCGCATTAATACAACTTTCACTGTTCATGGTCACTTTACAATTTTTATCACTAATCTTTGTGAATGTATGAAAAATAAAAGTACGTCTCCAATCATCAACAGCCTTGGGTTAGGAGATGACGCATCTGACAACTGATACGGTAGGAGTTTCAATTTGCCCAAGACAACCTAAGACAGTATCATCTGCATCATCCTCGAAATCATCGGTATCATCGTCAACTTGATGGACAAACTCATCGCTGTCAGGTTCAGGTTCATATTCGTATTGGCCATCGATGATAGCAACATTGTGATGGGTCGGACAGTTCACAGAAACATGCCCATACCCTTGGCATTTGTAACACTTGATATGAGGGCCAATCTTGAAGAAATCTTTCTCCGGCTCCTTGCCTTTGGGGTCGACTTTAGACTGGGAAGAACTGGTGTTAGATCGACTCAGAGGATGACTAGAAGTAGTGGCACGGGAAGATTGAGAGGAATGAGTTCTAAAATCCTGACTCCTATAAGATTGATGGGATTTGGCTTCATCTAGATCTTGAACTAATGCGTAAGCTTTCTCAAGGGTGTCTACTCCCCTAGTAAAGAGTTCGGTTTGCTGATCACTTCTCAATCCAGCTCTAAATTTTGATAAAACCTTCATTAGCGCCTCTTGCTCAATAGTGCTGCATCGAGTAAACATTTCATCAAATTGTGTAACGTATTCTTTTGCGGATTTGGTGCTGAGTGAGACGATGCCACTTGTCTAGCAATCGATGATAAAATAATGGCGGAAGGTATTTCTGTTTTAGTTCGTTGGTCATTTCTCGTCAAGTTGTAATCGGTAACTCACCTCTAATGTGCCTCAATGTTTCGAGGTTGGTCTAATATTGGCAGGCGTGTCTGGTGAGTTTCATCGCTGCGAACTTGACCTTTCGGGGTTCCGTCAGAGCGTACCAATCGAATTAGCAATCCATGTTCTTCAGCCAGTCCAGAAAAGCTTGTGGGTCGAGCTTGCCGTCAAAGGTTGGTGCGCTGACCTTAATACTCCTCAGGTATTGTGCATCCGGATTAGGTATCGGTTGATGTGGGGGTCGCTGAACGATGTTTCCATAGCCTTGACCTTGCAGCGGTGAGGCGAATTGTTCATAACCTTGACCTTGCGGTGGCGGGGTTGCAACACGTGCTTCTTCGAGCCTAGCAAACTTTTCGTTGGTGTCATTTTGAAAATTTGTTAAGTTATGGACTACGACAGTTAGTTGTCTTGCTAGCTCATCGAGTTTCTTATGGAGTTCGGGATCGGTGTTGCCTGACATACTGGACTCACTAGTCGACTCACTTGACTCTCCTAATCGATAGGGTAGACCGGTGCGAGTGGGCATGCACTAACAACTAGATGAGATGAATGGTGTGCACAACAGCTAAATGAGATGACTGATTTTTTTATAAAGACTCAACTAAAAACAATTTCCTAACCTAGAACTACGCTCTGATACCAAAAATGATGTGAAAAACGGGGTAGGGGTCTATCGGAATCAGCGATTTAATTCGAACAACGCACCGTTTCGTCAAAATTCATGATATTCGGTAGGAAATTAATTCGAAATAATTAATGTGATAGATGGTTTTTAACAAGATTTATAACGATAATCATGAACAATTCCACTCTCAAATATTTTAATCGCAATATTAATTATCATTTCGCAAGTTCTAAAATCAATATCGAAATTAAAAGTCACATGTTCAGTTACTCTCAACTCACCAATTCAATCTAAGCAGTGAATATATGATAAGAGTTTAGATGTGATATATTCATGCAATTAACTAATAAAAATGAGATTATAAAAAATACTGAGTGAGAGAAACGAAACTTCGTCGGGTTGAACTGTGCGGGTTGAATCTGAACTAGGAATCAGGTTCAACTAAACCTGGCTCGGTCTGGACCAAAACAAAAGCAGACCTAAATGAAATGGGGTCGGTTCTGGTCAAAACACTCCAGATCCGAAATGCCTTCTCTGTTATTCGATCTGAGGGGAGCGGAGAGACGATGTGACGACAGCGCGGCTGCAGGACGACGCGACTGCGGAAGGAATCGGCGATTGGAGGATGCTGCAGTCGGCGGGACTAGAACGTGGCGGCGGATGACGCAAGCGACATGCGATTTTGCAACTGGCGACGACTAGGACGCGACATCAACTGGTCGTTGAAGTGGCGACCGCATCGACTTGACGAGGATGGAGTGATGCGACGGCGGGAGGACGTAGGCAACGACGAGATGGGACGAACAATCGGCGGTTTGTCAGGGCATTCGAGGAGTAGGGGCGGCGACGTTGTTGAAGAATGAGGAAGCATGGGTGTTTGGCTATTGTCGGAGGTGGAGGGGAGGACTGAGTTGCTGTTCAGAGGTGAAGAGGGGGGGAAGAAGACGACGGCTAGGGTTTCACACCTCTAGGCTGTACGGTTTCACACCAAAATCAGGTAACGGAATATTTTCTTCATTTATTCATTCAATTGATTTTCGTTTCTGATTATAGCAAGCTTATAAAGAGAAAAATATTACAGATTTGGAAATCTCTCAATCAAATCTCTCTCAACCAATTAGATATCAAAATAAATAACTATCATATCTAATCTCACAATTCAAATTCAAATCAACTACTAAACTGAAAGTAACAAAAAAAATCTAAATTATCAAAACCACATTGCAGAGATCCGGTGCAAGGCTGAAACACGACTTCTCCTACGTTGATAAACACGACGAAAGTCCCGTGCACGTATCTGGATGATCAGTTTGATGTTGGATACTGTTCATTTTATTACTGTTCATTTTATTGTCACGTAAGTGTGGAATAGTCCATTGGATATTTGTTAGTAGAACTGGGATAATTGTTGAACTGGGATAATTTTATGAAAGTGGGATATTTTAGTGGGATTATGAGAGATGATTTTATGAAGCGGGATATATTTGTAATATAATGTGGGATAATTTAAGACAATCAAGAAGTATATAGTCTATATTTGTCAATGATATGACAATTTATATATTTTTAAACTTACTATTACTAGTTTGCGATCCTTGTAAAGCACGATGATAAATTTTTTCATGCTACAACAATCATGTTTCTTAAATGCTATAGTAAGTTTTTGAATTGCTACAGTATCTCGTATTTTGAAAGCGCTACAGTGTTCCCGTATGCTACACTAATAGTATTACTGTTTATAACACCAATCATAAGTCCCTTGCATTGCTACAGTATCTCGCATTTTTGAAAACGATACAGTGTTTCAGTGTGCCACAATAATAAAATACTATTCATACTATAGTAATTATTTTACTGTTGAATTTACTGTAGCATGAATAGAAATTCTCTGATTCTCCTATTTGTATAAAGGAATAGATTAATTAATAATTATTTAATATAAAATCTTATAAAAGAGTACTATGATTTAGTGACAACAATATTTTTATGATTATTATTGTAATCATTTTCACGGCAAGTAAATTTAGACAAGAGAATATAAATTTTAATTCAAAATTCCTCTTCAGTTCCAATATGATGGATATGGCGAGTAAACAGAACAAATTTAAATTTTCGTTAAAAAAATCCTCCTTAACTCTAACTGTAACATGTATTTAAGTAAGAATTATATTGAAGGCCTCAATATGCTAACATAATATTCTCGGACTCTTGATTCAAATGAGAACAAGGGTCAGGTGAGTTGTAGATGGATGTGTACAACGAATTAGTTGATGTTGGGATAGGATCAACGAGATCTCAAGCTCTGCCACGATCCAACTTCTTACGCCAGTCCATTTTGAAATGGAGGCTGTGACGTCGAAGAAAAAGAGGAAGGAGAAGAGAACTTGGGTCTAGTTTCAGTTCTAGTTTTCTCCCTCCTAGTTCTTAGCCAAAACGTGGGACAATTTTGAAGGGTGGAACTGAGTTTCATATATCTGTGTGCGCGCACGCGTCGGTAGGATAAAAAGTGGGATAATTTTGAAAACTATTACAGTTCTAGGTTTAGTGCAGTTCCAAGTGACTTAACACTTTAAAAATATATGCTATTTCTATTTCTATTCGACTAACATATAAAATTTTATCCCACAAATTGTTCATGTTCCACTTTTCTAGTTCTAATGGGTTACTTAGATAACTATTTGTATGTTTTTTTACATTTATGTACGAAATTCAGGATGATCAAATTAAATCATATAGAGAAGAATGCTTTTATTAGTTATAGCTATCTCCCCATCGCCTAAGTTAAATGAGATGACACTTAAGGTCTCATTTCCTCATGTTTGTTTTATAAGATTAATACTAATGTATCTAGAACGAAGTACAACATCCAGGCGAAGAATATAAGCTAGATTGAATTTTGGTACAGCTGTTGACAAGAAGTCGTTGCTTTGACTTGATCAAGTGATGCTTGTGTGATTTTCTTGAGCTCATACCGATTAAAATTATCAGTAGGTTTTCAGTTTTAACTGCTGAATTTCTTTCTCATCCTTTTCTTTTACGATGAAAAGGTACACATATGTTGAAGTGTGCATTGAGTTTGTTGGAAGAATGCGATGCTTGATAGTTGTTGGCGGCTGGTGCCACTGAAGACATTTGATCTGGATTCATGATCTAAATGATTGGCAACTACGAACCAGATCAGCACAATCATCACAACTCTTTAACAAGCTTTTTGTAGGATATTCTCCTTTAGCAGGTATTCTGCTTTTTGACTTCTCAGGCAAATTTCAGAGAAGCTTTTCCAAGTGCTCAGACTACGATATTTAACCTTCAATCAAAATACATGTTTTCTGATGATAGCTTTCACACAGAAAAGTTGTATTTAGTGTTGGAAAACTCGTCAATTCTTGTCTTCAGGAGAAAGCAACTGCTCGAAAGAGATTTGTAGTATGTCAGTTCTTTTCTTCCTTTCTTTTCATGATAATGGAGCCCATCTATTTCTCACTGCTTTATTCCATAGAACTCTATTCTTCCTTGATCACAGCCATCGGTCGCTGCAGATGAAAATAAAAATGTGTCTGTGTGGTTCCCAACACAGCCATTCATGTGATGAAAAGCAGTGGTCTTTCAGTTCTCTTAAGACACAGAGATGAAGATGACTTGTCTCTGAAACATGTTGTGTTTCATGGAGTAAATTGGGGCCTTCGCACCTAAAGTCACCCTGTAAAGCCACCATCACTATCATGATTTTGATAGAAAATTATTGAAAGGTAAAAGCTTCAAGTTCAACTGTAAAGTTGATCCATGAATTGTGAGGTGCACTCTCAAGTGTGTTTTTGTGGAACACCTGGCTTACATAACTGAAACCTGCTTTTATGTTACGATATAATTGGAGAACGTGCAAAGGTTGAAGAATAGAGGTGCGTTCGGTCCGGATACGGTTCGGATATTATGCTTATAATATTCGTTTCCGCTTACCCATCTCGGATATGGATATACCTTGGTAAGGATTCATATCCATATCTGCTAAAATCAGATACAGTTATGGATATACATACGAATATATAAGCGGATATGCATGCGGATACAAAACGAATATGAGAAAGCTAGATAGTATTGAGAAAAACATAGTTCATGTGATACAAAAGAGTTCGTTTATATGTTCATTATAATTGAAAACTTAAGATTAGACATATTGATTATCAAAATTAACCACAATTCCATAATCTAATAATTGAAACTATCATAAAAGTATGACTAATATGTAATCGAATATTTCGGATACGAGTGCGGATATTTCACTACAAAATCATATCCGTAACCATATTCTATTGGTTATAAATTTTAGTAATCATATTCATATTCTAATGGATACGGTTATGAATACTTCCTCGGATACGGTGAAACGGTTTAGCACACCTGCAGAAAAAAAATTTGGGAAATAAACAAGAATTTTATAACCATGGAAGTACATAATTTAAGATCTGACGAAAGAAAGTAGCTTGAGCTTGTGTATCTTCTTGTTGTGCGCTTAAACTGCAATGTATTTGGATTGTAAGTCTGTAACACATTTTCAAATACCATCAATATCAATTGTTTCATAATAAGCTGAAATTATGCAAGATTTTAGTTAATGATATTTCAAACTGAATTGATTATGTCAAAGGTCTTTTGTCAAGTAAAACGATATTTTGGTTAACTTTCAGTTTCAAAATTAGTCTGTGGCCTTTGCAAGTAAAACAAAACACATGTCTCAAAGGTGTGGAAGGTCTATTTTTGTCATCAAAATTTTAAAATTACTGTGAGAATTGAAAGTTAAAATTCTAATTCTAACATGTTCTTGCAGATTGAACGTCATTTTTCATGTTCAAAACTCTAAGCTTTGTATATTTCCTTTTAAAATTCGAGTTAAATGCATGTTTGGTCGGTTTTGGACTTGGGTCACTTTAGTATCGTGTCAAAACATCTCGTTTGCTTACAAAACTCTAAAATTACGGAGAGATTGGAAGGATATAATTTTATATTCTAACAGACTGTAATATTCAAAGTGTAGCAACCCCCGAAAACTGCAAAGCTCCATCCAAATTAAGCTCAAGCTGTCACCCAACACGCAAGTAGAGACAAGAGAATGAAGGAGGGGGGAGGAATTGAATCGCGTATGAAGGATGATACGGGTCTTAACCAACCTAACGTGATGAATGATGATGATAAAAGGTAGAGGCAGAGCAGAGAAAATGTTAAATGGCAAAGGCTGCCTTTATTCGCACGGCCATGACGCAAATGCTGCCAAGAATCTGACTCTTCCTCCCTTAAATGAAGATAACACCCACCTTGATCTTATTTAATGCTCTTCTGGACCGTTCCTCATCAATGAATGAATGCCTCTTGTACCCTTTTCCTCGCCCATACGGTCCTCGTCAAAATTACACGTTAGCCACCATTAGATTGATCTCCTAATTAGCGAGCAGACTGTTCTGACCCACGAACGATTACGGTTACGTTTTCAAATGGTCCGCAATTTGCCACCGTAGAGATCAAACAATCTTTATGTATTCGTGTTGTTCTGATAGAACTCGTGCTCCTGATAATCCGAAACTGATATGTTTTCAGACGGGCATATAGAAATATCTTGTACGTGCATAATCCATACAAGGTCACAGTGAAGTTTTCAAACAGCCCCCCCTATTTTCCTCTCTACGGACCAAATCAGTCTGTATGCATGCGGCTGTTTGTGGTAGAACTTGTACTGATAATTTGGCCTCTTTCCTTCCATCTCATGTATAATAATGTCATGAGAAATTGTTTTCGGATTCGAAACTGTAAAATTAAGTGAGAAATTCATAATTGATACAATATTCATAGGTGGAATTATCCCATTCGAGCCAAACTATTTCAACCAGATGTGCCCTTGAACCTAAATTCAGGCTTGACCTTCACTCTATCATCATAACTTAAATATAAACCCTATTCATGAATAGTTCTCCTCCAATTTACAACAATGCATGTAACACAATCAAGAGTTCAGTAGGGTATGGAGTATAAATTCACGAGCATCATGTGCTCTCTTTAGAGAAGACTGTTCCTGCTCTAGCCTCATCAATTCTATGGAATAAATGGCCATAAATGGCCATGAGCCTTGATATACCAAGGAAGAAGAGTGATATTACTCAATACTGCACAAAGCGCTCAATGGAATCTACATTTATTTTGCTATGGGCCCCCTCAACAACTAGGCTTGTCTATTTGAACGGAACTACAAAAAATGAGAGTACTCAAAACGTTTCTCAACTTAAGACTCAGTACAGCTCATCAATAGTGGCGCGCAATTGAATTCGATTAGAAGCTAGAAGTGATTGGTGGAGTGGATGCGAATAAAGTTATAGATCATTTTAGCTTTGTACGTTTAGTTGAACTGGAGTTGATCATTGGATCTCGTCTGGTCAGCACTAATCTTGCCAAATTAGGTTAGCTTTTTAGGTCTATTTCTACGTCCTAATTAAGGTTTCACTATAACTAAAACTCTAAATTTTAAGAATTCTGAAGGAATGTCTTTTTCCATGGTGGTTAACTTCTTGTTGATTAATCAGCTTACCTGAATTTGAATCTGGATGACATTGATGTAGTTTTAGAATCTCTCTCACAGGCTCACTCGTGGTCGTGTCGAAACTCCAAAAAGTTCAGATAAATTGACGAGACATGTATACTTTTACATCTGAAGATTTGTTTTGCGAATAGAATAGTTATTGTTCTAACTATGTTCAAATACTATCTACTACAACCAATAACCAACCTATTATAGTTAATTTTATTTTTTGTACGACCAATCAATTACTAATTGAAATAAATGACAGTATCCGAACAAAAAAATTTCAACCATAAAAAAAGGTTTGTTTATAGATTTTACATATAATTGACTTGTGTGAAGATAATATTGTGAATATAACATTTACAATTTTTCACTTTCAGGAATTATTAGAACCCATTGATTCACACTTTCGCAAGACCTTTACTTTCTATTACTATTACGAAGTCAATAATAGAGACCTTCTTTATAAATATAAAGAATTTGAGAAATTTTCTATTGACCTATTGAAATGTTTCTGCTGAGGACTTGCCTCAAACACCAAATTAAGGAGAGTCTTGGGAGCTTGGGATTATTAGACCTAAAAAAGACGACCAAAATAAGCTTAACTTTTTACTGTACTTATCTTGCAGATCAATTAAAAGGAGTCATAAGAACACCAAAGGATAATGGCAGGAAATTAAATGCTTCTGTTTGAGAGAGAGAGAGAGAGAGAGAGAGAGAGAGAGAGGTCCCAACTCAATGCAGTATTATTGCAACACCTACATCTGCAGAAACATTCGGAATCTATCCAGAGCCTCATTCATTTTATTAAAATCACTTAAAAAAAAAACTGTCTTATAGATCTTTTTCTGAATATTTTGTCGTTCTTTTTCTTTTCTTTTACATTCCCTCAAAAAAATACATCATGCTAACTAACCGAACCATTATCAGCAACATTAAATACACATACATAAACTCTGCATTGGTTACACATGAAATTATTCTATTGCTAACTAATCCATTTGATTATTTATATAACACAATCACCATCAAATTAATATACTCGATCAAGTAACCAATGATTGATATGTGTGATCTAAAGCTCTACACGTGGGCATGGATCCTTACACAATTAGGTACCCATCAAAACAAGTTAATTACAAGAAAAAACCCAGTTGCTTAGAATCTTAATCATACTAAAATTTCCAATCACATCCAGCTAAAAATGAATCAAGTACAGCACAAAAGCTAAACTAACTTGCTGATCATAAGCAATTTTGAGACGATGCGTGCACAATTCAAAAGTTGATGAGTGTACAATTGCATGGGAGCATCAAAGCATCAATTGATAGGGACCTGGCCTATTGAGAGAAGAAAAAAAAAAGATAAAAACAAGGACTAACTAGTGAAAAATCTAATGACAGGTAAGCAGTTTTGCTGATTAGGACTCTTAAACAACATGTGGTTTGCATTAGAGACTCATTATATATGTCGGTGTGGCTTTTCTTGCTTCCCTTTACGGCAGCAATTGGAGCCATGTAATATAGCTAGAGAGGGGAACTAACCTCGAGAGAATTGTAGAGCTCAAGCTCTCACTTACAAAGAAAAAGACCGCAAAAATGTTTTATCCACTCCCATAGCCTACGTCCAAAGGGCTCATAGTTGTCTCTCACAGCTCCAGCTTCTATGCTTGTGCTGCTTGCGTGCGCTGGAGTTTCAAAGTTTTATCTTTGGAAAACTTTCGTGTTTTGCGAAAGAAGTTGAGCTTGATGATCGAAGAGTGTTTGATAGAAGAGGAGGTATTGGCGTGTCTCAATTTAAGGACGTGGTTGGATATTGTCAACAGCTATGTAATTTGATTGAGCCGCGTCAATATCTCCTTGTGCTTCAAGCACTCAAACGAATTAAATTTATAGGTACTCCTCCTCCTCTTGTTCAGT